CATAAAAGTGATAATCTAAATAATACCTAAATCTGGCATTGCGGACTTGGTCGTATAGAATTTCAATATTACATAGAGATGTATATGTTGAATCAATTGATTTTGAATCATTTGATAAGTACATAACATGCCTGTTTGGCACAATGACCAAATCCCATTTTACTTGAAAAGGAATAGGTCTGCATAAATATTGGCATAATACATAATGATATATATGGACTCATGTCAATTAATGTCAGATGATGTTTCTCTCATCAATTATCATGAATACTTGATGAAATTCAAGCATGAAGTTCTTGAAATGTTTAAAGGATTCAAGCCAGGAGTAGAGAAACAAATAGGTAAAGATACCTTCACATTAAGATTCGATCGAAGTGAGAATATCTTAAAGATAAAATTTAGATTATCTAAGAGAGAATGAGATTCTCTTGTAGTGAACTCCTCCATATACACTGCAACATTGTGGTGTATCTGAACGGAGAAATCGTAAACTATTAGATATAGTCCAATTAAAAATGAGCCATGCAAATCTCCCAAAATCGTTTTGAAGTCATGCACTGATTGTAGTGTGCTACACACTAAATCATGTCTCATCTAAGTTATTAACAGAACTCCATACGAGTTATGGAAATGCAATAGTTCTAACTTATTTCATATGAAGGTTTGAGACTGTGAAGCTTATTTGAAGCGCATTGAATCGGATAAACTTAAGCATATATATATCCAATGAATACATATTTGTGGGATATTCAAAACAGATATTTAGATATCAGTTCTATTAACCCATTGAGAAGAAAGTTTTCGTCTCACGATATATCGTCCTCTTAGAGAAAATATTTACTCTATGAGAGGACAGTGAGAGTAAAATAGAACTTGAAAGAATTCAAGATTCCACAAATATAGTTAACAAAGTGGATGAATCCGAGTTTTATCCCATATCTGATATGGGACATACTCTTAATCAGGAAGTAGAGACTCTTGAGGATATGTCAGCTCTATGTGAGTCTATTAGGATGCGAATTCGTGATTACTAATCAGATATTACTGACCTAGGATGATGACCTACTAATTGCACAAAAATAAAGTCAAGTGTTGACTTAAAAGAGACAGTAAGAGGCCATGAAACTTGAGATGAACTCGACGTATGTGAACAAGGTTTGGACCTTGGTCGACCCTCCTGATGGGATAAAACCCATAGGTTATAAATGGTTTATAAGGAAAATGTCAAGACGGATGGGAATATCCGTACATACTGTTCGCGAAATTATTTCTTTCGATTTTAAATCACCGCAAGTGTACAGTTCGTTAACAAGTAATAAAGTGGATTCAATGTGTTCGAATATCGTCCTACAGAGATTAATTCGTTCAAATTTTACCTACCTTAGCCTTAACCGAAACTAAATTACAAAAGTGAATGTAGAACTAATTGAACCTCAATTATGCAAATTTTTTTATGATTAAATTGAAATTAATATGCAAAATAATAATTTAAAACTCTAGAATGAAATCTAAAAGTTGAGAACGCACTTGTTATAATTATTAGGAATGAAATACGCTAGAATCATGAATTCCCATGCAATTATCACTTTAAACCCTAGTTTCACAATATAACAACACATTTCAATTTTGACGAATTAATGTTCCTAAATCTATCCAATACTCTCTCTCTCGAGATGTATCAAACATATCTCTACATACCACCGGTCTATAATTCTATGACAGAGCATATGTAAAAATGCATGCGATTTTATGAACATTTAAAGATTCACGTTGGGCATAACGGTATATTTCTATCCACTATCGGACCCTACGATGATTTACATTATGTCAAATCTATTCCAATTCTCTCGAATGCAAGAATAAATCACTTAAATTCATACAATTACGAGCCCTTAATTGCAGAAACATTAATTGCATATAAATCATTCAAAATAATAAAAATTGTGTCTTAACATCAAATTATAAAACTAGAATATTAAAATTCAAATCACATGGTTCATCAATCTCTTAGCATAATAAAAATCTAGCCTAGCATGATTAAAATAACAAAATACATCATATTTTGTATAAAAGACATCACCGGGTTATAAAACTTGAATAAATTTTGAAGTTCTTCGTGCCAATCTTTGTTCTTGCGCTCAAATCCTCTCCAAGAGTTGTTTTTCAGCCTCCAATTACGTTTTGGGCGTCTCTGGAATGTTTTTGATATTTATATCCTGTGGAAAATTAGGTTACCATAGGTGTTTCAATTGTATAAGGAAAGAAAAAATTCACGCTGGAAATGTACCATGCGACCGCATGGTTTTAATCCGTGTAGCCGCATGGTTATTCTCTTTTTCCAGTTGAATTCCCTGCATCACTTCGTGAGGCCGCACGACATTTCTACCATGCGACCGCATGATAGAATTAAACTTTTATTTCCTGCAAATTGGTCCTTTTACTTGAATCTTCACTTCTTTGCATCTTTTCTTCATTCTTCACATTCCATCATCCCAAAATGTCATCAATTTATATTTGGCAAACTCAATTTCTTTATTTGTTCATCGGGTCAACTTTTGGGTAATTGTACCTTGGTCCTTGAACTTTCACTTTGTGTCATTTTAGTCCTTTTCGCATCTTTTCTCATGTATTTCACCATGTTCATCGGTGTTACCTACAATTCACAAATGTAATGAAATTAAGTCACAATTCAATCATTTTATTCGTAATTAAGTCATGTTTGTAACCTAAATAAGTGTGTAAAAACACACTTATCAAACTCCCCAAACTTGAACTATTGTTTGACCTCAAACAAAATAGTGACTAAATTCTGAACAAACATGGCTTAATACCCTGCTACGGCTCAGGATTGGACTAAGTGTTTGATTTGATGAAGATATATCAGTGCAAAAATGACATCAACCTTCGCCTGTTAAATGCGTACTTGACGTGTGTGTATGAGTTCATGCCAACATATTAGGTTCATGATGGGTTTGAGTCCTGACCCCGAGTGGTCAATTCTGTCCTTACTCGCTCGAGAGATACACAACCCCCCAAACTTATGTTTCTTTTTAACTCAATTATCCTAGGGTTGTGTTTCGAAACTAGGAATTCACATAGATGTAGTCCTCACCCTCTCGTAGTTTGGATTAATCTCACTATCACAAGTTTACATTTCAATAAGTGAAGGCTCTCCTAAGTTTGATCGTTTCGACTCTCAAGATTAAACTAGGTTACTTGCCTTGCTTCAAAGGTATAGTTTCTTTAACCAAATGTCCAAGGGCTTTTCTTCATGTTATCGTTTCTCTTTTCTCTAATTTTTCTGATTTTATTATTATTATTATTATTATTATTATTATTATTATTATTATTATTATTTCAGTTTCATCTTCTCATTTGCTTTTTATATAACCCATGTAACGAGTTTTAGGTCGATGACTCCCAAACCAGTTGGCTTTAAGGCAACAGGTTTTAAACCCTTGCAGGCTTATTCACTTGAGTTATAAAGGCTCGATCAGATGACTTTCAATTAACCTCTTTCCTTCTTTCCCTCTCACTTTCTATATGACCCTTTTAGCGAGTTTTAGGTCGGTGACTCCCAAGCCAGTTGACTTTAGGGCACTAGATTTTGAAATATCCTTATAGGCTTACTTGCCCGAGTCATAAAGGCATGAAAAGAAGTGTATTGTTTTCACAAATTTATTTTATGCCCTTATTGTTCTAGACATTTAGTTTCCAAAACTAACCCCTAATTTAAGATTTTCACCTAATCTTCACCTCACTGGTCTAGACAATCCACACAATAGAATTCATGCACGGAGCCTCCACTCATCTCAATGCTTCCTTACAATAGCTCAACCATTACCAAACTATCTTAAGGCAGTTTACGATTTAATTCAATAGAGGGTTATCATTCTTTTTCTATTTTATGCTCAAAATCCAGTCAATTATCTAATATGTCAAGCATGAACAATGTGCACAGATAATGTCAAGTTTTACATCAACAAGTGTCAGCTAGCCTAGTTGCATTAGATCCAAAGATTTTTGCAGTTTAACCTAGTCCAATTATAGCATCATAGCTAGAAAGGTTATCAAGCCCACACAAGCATGCATGAAAAGAATTAAAACAAAAATGAATAAAATGCAAAAAAAAAAAAAAATTTAATCACACATATCGATGAACACAGATAATATAGATATTTAGTTAAAATTATGTCACCTCCCCAAACTTTGTTACTACATTGTCTTCAATGTAAAATTAACAAAAGATTAAAGACAAAATTTTACGGACAACATAAAAAATGAAAATCCAAAATGTGGTAAATAGTACTTCTCCTGAATCAAAATGGATGAGGTGGTGGGAGACTGGGTCCTGCTGTACCATCGTCCGACGGAGGAGGGTGTCGTCCAAGGAGCTACTACATCATCTCAATTATTTCCCGTATCAAGGTAGACTGCTGTGTCTGCTCGGCCTGAATAGCTCTCAAGGTCTCCCAAGTTTCATTGACCCTCATTTCGATACCGTCCACCCGACCAACATACATGTTCAGCCGACCATTCATGGTATCAACTTCCCGTCACATGACTGTAGCATGATCCCTAGCATCTCTGATGTAGTTCAACGCAAGGTGATTGTCTTTTTGTAAACTTCCCAATTCAGTCATCATGTTGCCAAAATCTTGAAAGAAATTGTGAAGGTCCCGGCTAATGCCCGTGGTGGTGGAGAAGATCTGTCTCAGCAACTGATTACCCATGTCAGCTTGTGGTGCTGGAGCCCGTGGGTGTTCCTGATCTTCAGGGATTAGGCCTTGTTCTGCTTACTGTCTACGTCGCTCATTTTCCTGCTCTTCCCAGTGCTTAAGCCGAGCTCTTGTCTGAGGGTCAAATGTAGTTCTTTTGATCATGGGGCTAGGT